CACAGCTAGTAAGTGTCTGAGACTGGATTTGAACTCAGGTCCTCTTGACTCTAGACCCAGCACTCTATCCACTGCACCACCATTTAGTCTACCCTAATTGGTATAACATCTCTGATTTCTATTACTGTTTACTTGGATAAATATGTTTGCTTACAGAGGGAGCTGAGCTGGCTAAGAGTAAGCTATCATCCTCCTGGTCTAGCAGTGGGGCTATTTCCCATCTGAAGTGATAAAGCAAAGTGGTTTTTATTCTGAACCTCTAAAAGCACATCATACTCCTTGTTGTTTAATCGTTTTCAGTCGTGTCTGACTCTTCATGAGCCCATTTTGGGGTTTTCTTGGCAAAGACACTGGAGTGGTTTGCCATTTCCTTCTCCAGCTCATTTTACAGATGAGGAAACTGAGGCAAACAGGGTTAAGTGACTTACCCAGGGTCACACAGCTAGTAAGTGTCTTAGGCCAAATTTGAACTCAGGTCTTCCTGACTCTAGGGCCTGTGCTCTATCCACTGCACCACCTAAGTGCCCCAATCATACTCCTAGATTGTAAATATTTGAAGTATAATAAATAGATGTAATTCTAGCCCAAAGTCTCTCTTGAAGGTAGAAGAGCACATTAATAAGTAGATAAATGAACAAATAAATAAATGGATAAATGAATGAATCAATCAATATATAAGCATGTAGCCACAGCCTTCCTTCTATTCTCCACAAAGGTGGAAATCAATCTCCCTTGGAGATGTGTGATGGAGCATTCCACATCCCAAAACATATCTATCTAAATAAATGTCCCTGAAACACATGCTGCCCCATCTCTGTCTCCCTGTGGTATGAGTTTAAATTCTTACACAAGCCCTTCTGCTTTACACATATATAATGTGTTTTCAAAATACCATGTAAATGTTGCCTATTATTATAACCAACCAAGGAGCAATTGTGGAGGAGCTAAGCAGGTCTTCTAACACCACCCTCCCTTCTCTGTACCTTTGCATTGGCTAGAATACTCTTCCTCCTCACTCTCCCTTTAGGTAGCTTTGGACTTCTTCAATATTTAACTCAGATACCACCTTCTGGAAGAAACCTCTTCTGTCTCTCTTCCCATCCTACCTCCCTGCCTTCCCCTCTATGAAGGAAGGAGGTTACATCTACTCTGTATCTTGTATGTAACTAATTATTTAAGTATTGTCTCCTGCACTACGTTCCTGGAGAGACCAGGTCTACTTAGCATGGTACCTAGGCCAGGGGTGGGGAACCTGTGGCCTTGAGGCCACATGTGGCCTTCTAGGTCTTTGGGTGCAGCCTTTTGTCTGAGTTCAAGTTTTACAGAACAATCCTTTTTATTAAGGGGGTTTGTTCTGTGAAGTTTGGATTCAGTCAAAGGGCTGCACTTGAGGACCTAGAGGGCCATATGTGGCCTAGAGGCCTCAGGTTCCCCACCCCTGGCCCAGTATATAGTAAGTGCTTAATATATGCTTGTTGACATTGATTGACTCAATGTGGACAGTTCAGGTTATAGTTAAAGGAATAAGTAATAAGTCTCAGGACTCAGAATTAGGTGGGGTGGAGGAGTATAAGGATGTATAACTCTGTCTAGCACCTTGTCTTGAAGCCTCTAACTGGGCAACCCAGATTTATTAAAGCAATGGTAAATCCCAGACTCCAACCTAGAGAGGAAATATTTCCATTATGAGTCGCCACTTTGGAACCACAGACTGCAAGGCCCTCAGCCCTGGAGAGGTTTTAACTAATCTGACAGGTCTCCCCACTCGCACCCCCTATCCCCTCTATTCACCCCTCCCCCCACACAAATACACACAAACTTCTGTTCCCTCTAGTGACAGCCACAATCTGCTCGGTGGAGCAATTAGAAATCAGAGGGTGTCTGCACATTTTGTAGGCTTAAGGACATTGCTAATTTACTTTAATCCACTTAAGCCTTCAAAGGCCCGGGGCCCCAGCTCAAACAAGACAGCACAGAGAAGACAGCTGGAAAGCTTCCTCCTGGAGACAGAGAAGCCCACAGTTGGGAATTTCCTTGTCCCAACTCAGCCTCACCCCCTGCCAATCTTCCTGCAGCAGAAGTCTCAGACCACCCCCCTCAACCTCCCCATCTGTCCCATCCTCTCCAGAAATCCACACCCACTGGCCTTTAACTCTACCGCACCCCCCTCCCCAGCCCACCTCCTCCAAGAAGCCTGGCCTGATTGACTCAATCATGTCTATCCCTTGTGATCAGATATTTGGGTTACACTATGTTCCTTTGTGCTTTCTACATACTTCTTTCTGAGCTTTCTTCAGTGGGCTTTCCCTGCTTCTCTATAATGTTTCCCATAGAGTCTGAGTTAGATCATCTTGTGCTCCCAGTACCTAAATAGTAATATTCTCTTCTATCATGACATAGTAATAGTAGTAGTAGTAGTAGTAGTAGCAGTAGTAGTAGCAGCAGTAGTAGTAGTATTAGTAGTGGTAGTGGCAATGGTAGTGGTAGTGGTAGTAGTAGTGGTAGTGGTAATAATAGTAGCAGGAGTAGTAGTACTAGTAGTAGTGGTGGTGGTAATGGTAGTGGTAGTGGTGGTAGTAGTAGTAGTAGTAGTAATAGTAGCAGTAGTAGTAATAGTAGTAGTAATCCTAATAGTAGTAATACAGTGGCTAGTATTCATATAGAACTTTAAGATTTGCCAATTGCTTTACAAATATTATCTTATTTGATTCCCACAGCAACCCTGAGAGACAGGGGCTATTATTGTTCCCATTTTACAAATGAGGAAACGGAGGCAGACAGATGTCAAGTGACTTGCCCAGGGTCACACAGCTAGTACCTGAAGCCAAATTTGAACTCAGGACTTCCTGACTCCAGGCCCAGCCCTCTATCCATATAACTGACAAGTGCTCATCCATACTCCAAAAAAAGAACTCCAGCGATGGGAACCAGAGCCCACTTTGGGATAGCTCTAATCGTCAGAAAGCTTTTTGGGGTATAATGGCCAGCATGCTGTGTGAACCTACACTCAGGAAGACCTGGGTTCAAATCCTGCTTCAGATACCTACTAGCTGTGTGACTCTGGATCACAACCTCCTTCAGGTCTCAGTTTCTTTACCTGTGACAGGATGGGGTTGGATTTGATGACTTCTAAGGTTCCTTCCCATTCTAAATCTACAATCTGCAATTCCTTCTGCTGAACTGAAATCTGCCTCAGCAAGCAATTTCTACCCATTAGCCCTGGTTCTGACCTCTGGGGCCAAACAGAATGAGTCTAATCTTTGTTGTAGGTGACAGCCTTTCAAATTCTTGAAGACTGTGGACATGTCCTTCTCCAGATTAAACATCTCTGCTTCCTTCAACCATTTCTCAAGTGGCATAGACTCAAGGCCTTTCACTATCTTGGTTGAGACACTCTTCCGTTTATCAAGCTTTTAAGAAAGACATTGGTCCTTCCTAAAATGTAGCCCCTGGAACGGAACTCTGTCCTCCAGACAGGGCAGACCAGGGCCAAGCATAATAGGATTATCCCTTCCTTCATTCAGGACAGGATGTCTAGCAATGCCATCCAAGATGAAGCTAGCTTTGGGTGGGTGGAATATGTGTGTGTGTGTGTGTGTGTGTGTGTGTGTGTGTGTGTGTGTGTGTATGTGTGGTGGGGGGGAGGAGGCATCCTGCCATATCATGGGATTGAGTTATATTGAATTTACAATCTTCTAAAACCCCCCAGATCTTCTTCATAGTAATTAGACATTAAAATGTCATCATGCTCCCCCCATCCTGTATTGATGTGGTTGATTTTTTTTTAAGATAAATTTTTTTAAGAAACCCCTCTTTCTGGCCTGTCCAGATTGCTTGGGATCCTGCATGTCATTCAAAGCATAAGTGTTGTCTTTAGGCTTTGTTTCATCTACAAATGTGAGAAGCACGCCATTTATGCCTTCATCCACATAAGCGATAAAAATGTCCAACGGAACAGGGCAAAGAAGGTTTCCAAACTAGCCCACAAGCCATCCAAAGAGGCTCCGTAGGGACTGAGGTGTGAGACAGAACAAGGACTGATTGTATCTGCCTTCATCAAATCTCCTTCCCTGGGGCCTCCGCCAAGACCAGGGAAGACTGGCAACAGCTCGAGTGCCATCACTATAATGAGCACAGACCACTGATTTCCAGTGACCTCTGAGTACTATTAAAATGAATAAGTCATTATTATTATGGTCATGCGTGGACCTTCCTTCCCTCAGCCTCTCTAACCGTGATGACTTCTCCAGCTATGCAAAGAGCACCTGTCTCCATTCTCATCAAGGGGGTCCCAAGGGTCTCCTCCGCTCCCTCCCTCCTTCCCTCTTCTACTTACTCATTAGAGAAGAGGCCTGGAAAGATCATTGGATCCAGCCTCTATTAAGAACTGAATTAAAAGTAACTCAATCAATCAACCAATATGCATTTATTAATCTCCTACTATGTACAAGGCACTGGGAATAGGAGACAGGCACTGGACCTGTGCTTTCATTGATACAGGGAACTCCCAGTGGAGGGAACTCCCTCTCCCAATGCAGGTCACCACTTTCTCTACAACTTATATTGTTAAGAGAGGTGCCTGAGCACTCAGAGAGGTTAAGTGACTTCACCAGGGTAACACAACCAGTATTTGACTCAAACCCAGGTTTTCCTAGCTTTGAGGTGTGCACCTCAAAAGACCTTCATGGACTAGGAGTCCATGAAGGCCTCTTGGAGTCATATTTTATGCATTCCTCTCTCTATCCATTGTGCCAGGGACTATGAATACAAAGATAAAAATGAAACAGACTCTGCCCAGCAGATTGATGATTCCCCCTACTTAAAAAAACTTACGCCACCCCATTGAAGGATATTCCCCAATACCCCTTTAATGATTTGTTACAAGGTATTATAGCCCCAATAGTTAGGAAATCCTTCCTAATCAAACTTAAATCCCCTCCAACACAGCTGATGATGACAAACAGGGTGCCAGCATGGAAGCGAGGAGGGAAGGCACTTACCTTCAAAGGCGATGATCGGGTGTTCCCTCAAGGTGCACAGCTGCTGCTCACTGCTGGGGGCATCAGACACATTGTGGGAAGTGGACAGGTGCAATGCAAGCAGGATGAGGCCCGATAAGGACAAAGTGATGGCCAGGGGTTTGGGGAAGACCATGTTGGATGCTCTAGCTGCCAGCCTCGGCCTGGGGAGAATGCCTGTAATACAGAACACTCCATCTCACTGTCCGCTCCCATTATCACCCCCTGCCCCACTGCCCCACGGCCTTCGGTGATTCCATCATTCTCCCTGCCCCTATTGCCTAGAAACATTGGTATCAGAGCTATACCTTCAGTGAGGCATTCACAGGCATGGAAGGATGCCCACGCCCCGCAGGGAAGCATCCATCTCCCCACCCTAAACTATGATAACTTAGATTGAAATGATTTCTGATATCCCAACACCTCATCCGTGAAAGCTCAGCTTGGAGACATATTTTGTGGATTCCCCTCTCAACTGCTGCATCCAACCAGTCACCAAATCTTACTGATTTGGGGGTTTAGCATCTGTTGAGTTCATCCCTTCTGCTCCATTGGTGTTCCTACCATCCTACTTGGGGCCCTCATCACCCCAAATCCAGACCATTTCAATAGCCTGGGTTTGATCTCCTTGTTTTAGTCTTTCCCTGCCCAGCACCCAACAGCAAATTAACTTTCCTAAGACACCATTTCCATTGCCTCAAACTGCTCAAGAACACTGGGTTCTCACTTGTTTCTAAGATTTTTGCATAATCTCACTTGGGAGAGAATGGGGAGAGTTATATTTAGAAATGCTGATAACATAAAAAACAAAATAAAGTAATGATTTTTAAAAGAGATAATCCTAGCCTTCAGAGAAGATCTGTCCAATTCACTGGAGTCTTCTGAAGAAAGGATTTGACAGCTGACATGATCACTATACATACCCTCCCTGAACCCAGTTTCATCATCTGTAAAATGGGAATAATAAAGGTTACACTCACCCAACTCAGTGGATTAAAAAAGTTAATGAATGAGAAAGCCAACCACTTACCTACCTCTTCCTATCATCATGCCTCCTTCTATCCTCCCCACCAGGGAGACAGTGTGGTACAGATAAGGAGACTGACGGATGCCCAGGGAGCTTAAGCATGCCTGCTGTCATACAGGCAAAAACATCAGAGCCAGAGTGCGCTTACCACTGTGCCTCCTGCCCTGAGCCCTTCTTTCTGCTCTGTCCCTGCTGCGGAGGCATTCTTTAAATGCCTCTCTCATTTTTCTTTAGCACTTTAAAGTTTATAAATCCCTTCCTTCTCAACAAACCGCGTTAGAAGATGTGTGGCCTGCACGTAGTGCTATCATGCCCATTTTACAGATGACAGAACTGAGACTCTGAGAGATAAAAGGGATTTGCCCAGGGCCAAATAGCTGGGTAGGGACCTATAGTCAGGACCGAGACTCAGGTTTCCTGGCCTAAGCACCAGTGCAAGTTCTTTCGGGTATGCCCTTTGGGCTTCCTGCCCAGACACTGACCAAGAAAGGAGACCCTGGAAGTGAAAGAGTAAGAGGGAGGGGAGGGGAGGCTGAGGGTGACGTCTCTTTGCATTTTGACATTAGGTGAAGGGTGTATAAATCATATGCAAATGGGCCACCCACAAAAACACGTTCTCAGGCCAAAGCTGGGGTGTGTGTGTCTCTCTCTCACACACACACACACACACACACACACACACACACACACACACACCATGCAGAAAGTGCTCTTCCCTCCTCTCATTGTTCCCAGACCCCCACCCCTGAGCTTCTTCCCTGCCCCCCTGAGAGCAGCCCCAGGTGGCCCTCTGGAATGTGTCTGGCCTGAGCTACAGGACCCTCCCTTCTCCCCTTGTACCCGAGTACCCAGCCTGGGCTCCCAGGCCCAGAGGTACCTAGGGGAGGAGTCTCACGCTACCACCTCTCTCTCTCTCTCTCTCTCTCTCTCTCTCTCTCTCTCTCTCTCTC